ATAATATTATTATTATTATTTTATCTAAAAGAAAAAGAAAATATTTATTTATATAAGCTACGTATGGATAAATAAAAGCTTGGTTTCCAACAATTCAATAGTCAATTCTAAAATGTGATACAATATCTTTCAGTAAAACTAGAAAAATTCAACTTGTAAAAATCAACATTACTGTTTTATCTCTTCAATATTTAAATATTTTACAATTTATTTATTTATTTTCTTACAGAAATAAAATATTAAACATTAAATCTCATTTTTAAAAAATCTGCGAAGAAAAGGTTTCATATAATCAGAGAAATTCCTTTAAAAAAATCCAGCAATCAGTTGCGTAACTTTCTGGACAAATAAAAAGAAAGTTAAAATTGTGTGGTGTCATCTATTACGAGATTTTATTTTTAAAAACTCTTTATATTATTATTATAAACTGGCAAAAACCTTAATTTTTAGGGTAGAGATGAGTTTTATAAAAAAAAAAAAAATTGTAAACACTAATAACGAATGAAATCTTAAGTTCGACTCTACTCGAGATATGACATAAGACCACCTGTACTTCTCAACCCCTCGACCTTTAACCACCAAAATTTAATAGCATTAATCCCACTAATACACAAACCTCCCTGAAAATTTTCAGAAATTTTCGACAAAATGCACAGGAGTTATTAAGCTTTAAAGTGTAAACAAAATCGTTTCTCCCCCTCACACACAAACGTCCATACGTACAGAAAAAGCCCGAAATTTTTTCGCATTTCTCGTTATTTCAAGCTCTCCTGAGTCCAAAAGTGTAAAAAAAATCTTGGGAAGGGTCATTTTTTTGACCGATCACCATACTTTTCCTCTACTCTATTATACTGTATATAAGCCGTGAAAGTAAAAATAAAATATATACATTTAAAAAAAGCCATTTTTAAACTTCATTTTTCTCGAATGGTATCAGAGCTTCAATCTATCTATAAACACCACAAATTATTATTTAGTTCTTTACTCATAGATCATAAATACTGATTCCCTAGAATACATATATAATATTTTTCGACTTATCTCCTCAAACCATAGCTAAAGTATGATGTGTTTTTTTCATTTTTTTTCGGAATTTATCAAAGAAAAAACTTGAAAAACAAGAATTCTTTTTAAGCAGGCAAGTGTAATAGACGCTTCTAAACATAATTTGTGCTCTTATAAATCATACGGAGAACAAAAGAAAAGGCTATGCTTCTATATGACAATGCAACTGGTATAGAAAACAAACAAGAAATTAGGTCACATGGTCATTAGCCAGTGAACAACCGTCATATTGTTGGACAATACACTAGTTTGTTCGCCATTCCTCTAACAATTCCATTTATATATTTTGCGATTAATTAAATCGAAAACTGTAAACATCTTAATGAATTAATTGCTTTACTATGAAACTTGTTTGTAAAATTAAAATTTTCTAAATTTGATAACTTTTACATATTCTAATGAAATCAACACAAATCCTATTTGGCATTCGACCACTTCCACTTTAATTTTTATTTTTTATTTTTCTTCTTTTATAAATTTTAATTTAATAAATTATCTTTTGAAGATATTAATTCTCTCGGGAGTACAAGAGATATGTTAGAGATGAGGGATTTAATGTTCAATCTTAACAACAGATGGCGGAGAATTCTACAAGATTGCAATACTTAATTTTTTTTTCTTTTCTTTTCTTTTTTTTTAATTTAAAATTTTTTGATAAATTTTTTAAAGTTTAATAACTGTTAGAAAATAAATAAACTTTTAATTTTATAAAATAATTAAATTATTTGTTTGTTTATAAATTATCTGTCGGTAATTAAAAAAACACAGGCATTACGTTGTTTCTAATTAATTTACGGTGACAGAGTGTGACTGTTGTTTTTTTTGCTAAACTGTAAAAAAATTGATAATTTTAATTAAAATAATATTTGTTTACTACTTAATTCTATTGAATATTGTATAAAATTAATGTACAGCGTGTATACATAGGGACATTGAAAGCATGAATGGGGTTCAAGTCCTTTTCGTTATTTCTTTATTAATTAAAAGTAACCTTAACGATGTTTTAAACAAAAATAGCACTATTTTATAGAAATAGAAACCATTATAGCCCCCCTTTTCTCTGGAATTGGGGAAAAATCTTCAACTCCCCTCTCGATGTAGGCTATGTACTGTACCAGCTGTACCAGTACACGTGTATATACGTCGAGAGGGAGTACATATACATATAAACAGTATTTCTAACTGGAAAATTTTATTTAAAAAAATGGTTTTTTGTAGCATCAAAGATGTAGCAAATATCACTAGAAGTTGACAAAGTTTATATGGATCAACATAAATTTAGCAAAGATATCAAACAAGAATAGCGATTCTAAACCATTGGAAGGAAAATATTATACATCTGTATCTGGTAGCTTGACTTCTATAAAGACTTGCTTCGAAACTCCAAACAATAAAATTTTATACCAGATTTTACTCAGTTAAATTCATTGTTTTTTCCCCTCTTCCCTTATTTTATATCCTTATTTTTATTTCTTTCTTCTCAAAGGAAAACAAATACAGTAAATAGGTCAATTAGCATTGCTTACATTAGTTAATAGCTATCATTTGATGAGGATTTTCTTTCAAATTCTAGCTGACGGAAACGATATTTTGGAACGGGTGTGATATGATGGTTTGTAAATTTCTTAAAGAAAAACGATCAGGAAATCGTTTTGCCATTCCACCTCCAACGTGCATAAATTTTACTTGAAAATAAACCAAAATAAAAGGAATTTCACTGTAAATTTCTTCAAGAAAATTCCCTCCTAAAACTAATCACAATTAATTACGAAACTTGTTACCCAGAAAGTTAATACTTGTAACTTATTGTATATAATTATTCTTCATTAAAAATATTACAAAAATGGGTATTACTTTATATTAAATGCGAAAAGTAATTTATTTTGAGAATGATTTCCTTAATGCTTTTCCCTATTAGAAAATTTTCTATGAAAAGTTGGATATTAATTTGCATCATTAAACTAGAACTAAAAAGTGTATTGAGTTATTTAATCTATGATTTAAGGAATATGATCTAGTAAACATAGCAAATTATCCATAAAATATTTGTTTATCATAAAGTGTTTGGCAGGAAAGTTATTCATTGATCTAAAGCCAGATGGTGAATAGTCGATAACTAATATCAAGTTTCTCAATAATAAAAGAAATGCTTGATTTTATTACATATATCACGCATTAACTTATAAAGCTAATGCTAAATTATCTTATTTTAGTGACAAAAACTTTACGAAAAATACATCAACGAGTTACGTAACTTTCCCTACAAAAAATTTAAAATTGTATATGGTACCATCTGTGATGAGATTTTATTTAAAATGGCAGAGGTTTTAAAATACAGATAAGTTTTATAAAGGAAAAATATGTATATTGTAAATGTTAATAACCAGTAAAATCTTCATTAAGTCCGACCCCTCTCGTGATACCATACTTGGCCCCTTCTATCCCTTCAACCCCTCGACCTTTAAACACCAAAATTTAACAGCATCAATGCTCCTAATATGCGAACCACCCTGCAAAATTTCAGAAATTTTCGACAAAAGGCACGGGAGTTTTTAAACTTCAAACTGGGTGAGCAAAATCGTGCCCCCACACACAAAACAAACATACAGGGGGGAAAAACTCGATTTTTTTGCATTTCTTGACGTTTCAAGGTCCCCCGAATCAAATAACGTAAAAATCTTGGGGAGGGGTCATTTTTTTTACCGGAGCTTGCCATACTTTCCCTCTGTTATATATATATATAACAGCTAGGAAGGCAAAGATCTAGAATTTTACTTTACTTTTTAAAGTCCAAATGTATATATATAAAATAAAAGAATTTTTCTGATATATGCTGTACTATATCTTAAAGAATTTTTTAAAAAGTTATTTCCCAAAATAATTCTTTTTGTTATATATTGGTTGTGGTATTCATAAATTCTTGCAGGATTTTTGACAAAAAATCTATCATATGTAACACAATGCTTATTTTTTTTTTGTTTGTTTTCCTTTTTTTCCTATTCAAAAATTCTCATTGAAACAAAAATATTTATTTATCCTTTATTATGAAAACTTAATAATTAAACTAGATAAAGGTTATTAAATTCTAATCTAACCGCAGAAACTCGAACTAAACTTAAGATAAATTTAAAATTCATTAATTTATAATTATTTACTCCGCAAAATTTATAGAAAATATGTGCTAAATAAGGAACTAAAAATAGTTTTAATGCACTTTTAATAATAATTTAATATACGTTTTTAATATTTATATTATATTATATAAAATATATACAGTAAAACCTGCCTAAACGAAAAAAATATTCAGTAACGTGCATTTCCGGTTTACACAGGGTTAACTCTATACATAAATATACAGAAAACCTGTGTAAACCGAAACTCGAATATTTTTCCGTTGTGAACAGGTTTTTTTTTAATATAGAAAATCGCTCCGTTCCGAAGAATTTTTTCCGTTTAGGCAGGTTTCCATTTTGGACAGGTTTTACTGTATATATAATAATAATTATATAAATTTAATTACTGTATTATTATATAAAATAATAATATATATTAATACTTTCTACAGCAACATATCTCTTCTATAATGAAAACATCTTTATTTATTTATTATCCTATTAAGGATAATTATATAAATTCTTTGTTTGTATGAATTGGCGTTGGTATTTCTCTCTAGAAAATAAAATTGTCATTAAATCTATAGCAATTTATTACTACTACAATTTTTTATTATTTTTTTTTAAATGCAAATCTCATTTGAAGGTCGATTCGGGTGACATAACGATTATTCGATTTTCACTGACGGAATAAACAATGAGTTTTATTCGATAAGTGCTTTCTCCATTTTACTTTTTTAAAGAATAAATATATTTTTAAAAAATCCAGCAACGAGTTATGTAACTTTCCCGTCAAATAAAAAAAAAGTTAAAATTATGTGTAGCGCCATCTATTACGAGATTTTAATTTAAAAACTTTTTATATAATTAATTATAAATACAGTAAATAGGTCAATTAGCATTGCTTACATTAGTTAATAGCTATCATTTGATGAGGATTTTCTTTCATGTTCTAGCTGACGGAAACGATATTTTGGAACGGGTGTGATATGATGGTTTGTAAATTTCTTAAAGAAAAACGATCAGGAAATCGTTTTGCCATTCCACCTCCAACGTGCATAAATTTTACTTGAAAATAAACCAAAATAAAAGGAATTTCACTGTAAATTTNTAGTAAGGAAAACACTGAAAAATGCATTTTGTAGTTGTAAATGTATAAATAACCATAATAGAATAATAATTGATAAAAAAATGTAGTTTTATTTGCACTTTACCTTTGAAGATAGACAACGATGAAGATGTAAACTGGTGGCAGAGGAGAAGGAGAAGGGAAATAACATAATGTAACAATAACTTAAAAATAACTTAACACTAATTTTTTTATCTTTTCTGTTTTATATATATTTTAAAATATTATAAATGCTAATAAACGAGTAAAATCTTCATTAAGTCCGACTCCACTCGAGATATGACACAAGACCACCTGTATTTCTCAATCCCTAGACCTTTAGCCGCTAAAATTTAACAGCATCAATCCCCCTAATATACAAATCTCCCTGCAAAATTTCAGAAATTTTCGACAAAAGGCACGTGAGTTATTAAGCTTCTAATTGGGTGAACAAAATCGTGCTCCCCCATACACACTATACAGGAAAAAAAAAATCCTCGATCTTTTTGAATTTCTTGACGTTTCAAGATCCTCCAAGCCCAAAAATATAAAAATTTGGGGGTTCATTTTTTGACCGATCGCCATACTTTCTGTTATATATATATATATATATATATATATAACCGATAAAGTAAAAATAGGAATTTTTTAAACTATATCTTACATTCGATAAACAGTCTGAACACGGCAGTTTATATATTTTTTTAAACTGTTATTTTGTGTAAAAAGTGAATCTGTATACAGCTGTTCGTACTATATTTTACCGTTTAATGAATACTGTAAACACCATCGGAATGAATATTTCAAGTTTATACACACAAATTCGGCATAGGGATTTTTTTATTATCTATAAATATTTATGGGACTAATATAAATAAAAATCCATCTCGCAGCTTTAAAATTGATTATATAAACGCAAAAATTCAGATTAAATTCAATACATTTAAATAATACGATACAATTTTACGGAGTAAATGAACTGTAAAAGAAAGAAAATGGATGAAGGAAAAATAACTTTTTTTTTTTTTTTTGTTCTGATCATTTAATAAAGTCAATTTTAAGCATTACGTATGTAATATTTTTATTCGTATATAAATATATGATTTTTTCCCTTTATCTTTAGACAATTTATGAATGCATTACAAAGTTAAATGCAGTTTTTTTTCAAAGCGCTTTATATGATACTTAAGCAGTTTCGGATATGATATGGCGGCATATATATATATAGTCTACTGTATATACTTTTCTTCTTGATTTACGTAAGTCTTCTTACGTGTGCGTGTTTACTCGATGCTAAAATAAAAAATACAGTAGTTACTTTGTAAAAAATAAATGTTTATAGTGGCCTATTACTTTAAACTAGTCAGTGTAAAAGAAGTGCATTTGGATTGTTTGTTTTCTTGTCGCGTAACATATATTTGCGGCGAATGAAAATAAATCAGATGATTTACTTCTGAATTTTGTTTGTTTTTTTTCGCTTGGTTCATTCCTAACTTCTTCCTCTCCCTTCTAGTGAATGTATTGTATTGAATTTCTCCATTTTAGTTCCCTGTAGGTCAGTCTAACTCATTGCTTGACTGAATTTCCGATTGCCTTGTTGAGTACGAGCTCAAAGTGGTCTGTAAAGAACTCCACTTGGTTTATATTGATTGGAACATCTATCTGTTACCACAAATAATTGTCTCAGTTCTGTTTCGCAACTCTCTCTCTCTCTCTCTAGCAACTTTACTTAACAAATCGATCATCCCGACAGCAAAATTAAGTTAAGCAGTCACGTGATCGCCGATAATCTTGTTAAAATTTACAAAACTGCATAGACGTCTGGCAACTTGTGAAGGCGTTGTCTTAAGTCAGCGCCATCTAGTATCGTTATATGATCATAAAAATAAAATAAAATTAAATTAAATTAAATTAAAATTTTTAAAATTTAATTTATTATACTTTGATCTTATTTAAAATAATTTGCATTTATTATTTTATACTATCGATTATTAATTATTATCTATTTAGTTTATATATATATTTTTTTTTTCTTTTTCTTTTGAAAAGGCGCTTCTAACAAAGATATTGCTATAATGCACATCTTACAAGTCCATTATATGCTGCAATCTGGCATAAAGCTGAGAAGAAACTGAGAAAAACGTATCTGTGACCGAAAAAAGAATGAGAATGATAGATGAGAGTCCACGGAGATGAAGAAAGACGCGGGGGATGCTGAGATAGTCACCCTCCACTACTTGTTCGCTAGCTATCCGATTGCTGTGGTTTAGCTTTCTTACCTTTCAATCGATTCTTTTGTGATAAGACAGGGGGAAAAAAATTCAAAAAGACGTTTAGAAGGAGATATAAATATGCAGCTGTTGAGTTTATTGTTTAGATAAGACGTTTATTGCACCATCCAGTTAGTTTCTGACATATCCGTGAGGGGACGCCACATGCCGGACGGTTGCTAGTCGTAAAAAACTATATATATATATGGTACCATCTGTGATG